AAAGAAAGAAAGAAAGAAAGAAAGAAAGAAAGAAAGAAAGAAAGAAAAGAAAGAAATTTGAAGCCTGCTAAATTTTCGAGGAAACTATATAGCCCTCAAAATCTCAAGCTTGCTTGGGAAACTCATGATTCTTCCACCTTTACCATCCCCTGGATCCTGCATTTGCACCAATGGGGAGTGGACTGTGAAAGTTGTGTATTTCCCCCAGGAAAGTCACTTTCCCCAATGCCCACGTCAGATGCTGCCATAGATGGCTTTAGAATAAGAACATCTTCCAAAGAGGTACACCGGGGGTTGGGAGGGGATTGATAAGGGAAATCCTTCCAGAGAGCAGAATGAGTCTGCCCGATCTGATGGGTCATGCAAAGAACTTTCTTCATTGTTGGAACTTGGAGTCATTACTATTCCTGCCTGGCAGGATTTGGTATTTGTGATGGACTAGTGTTTTCTGTGTATTTCCCATTCTCCCCCTTTCTGAATGAGAGTTTTTATTGTAATTATTCTATTCTACCCTTATTACTGTAATATTGGGTATTTTGGGGAAGGTGAGGGGGCAAACAGCTGTCTTGTCTTTCAGCTATCCAACTGACAAACCATTTAAGAGTGAATGGCCGAGCAGACTGCAGAGACTCCAAACTTCAAGGTGGGTGCAATAGGTGGCTGAAACTTTGGGTTGCTTTCCTTCGGGGTCTGATGAATGCATTCAGTGCAAAATACCTGCATGGGAAGAAAGGTGTGCTTGGGTATTAAGCAATTCAAGGGGTGAGTTATGACATCTTATGGTCTGACTAACCACATGTTTTTAACCTTCTCCTTGACTTCCTCTCTCATAAAGCCTGGGAAATCGAAGTACTGTACTTATTTTCCCAGACTCCTTTATATAACTAGGAGTGGCCATGTGACATAGTTCTGGACAATGACACACACGTGAAAAGGCTTTGGAAGGGCTTCTAAGAAAACTCTTTCTTACCTGATAAAAAGGAACAGCTGATGTTGGTTGCCCCCGTTTTCTTTCTTGAATTTGGATATGATTTCACAATCTCTTGCAACCATGGGGAAAACACCCTGAACCAATGCCTGCAACCGCCTACTTCATTATGTCTTTAGATTAACAACAACAACAATGACAAAAACCCCTCTGTTTACTTAAGCACTGTTAGTTGGTTTACTTTATTATTTGCAGAAAAAACATCCCTAACTTAGACATCACTGCGAAATTCCTATCTTATTTTATGAGGACTATATCTGTAAAATATCTAATACTCACCAAGGCAAGTGTCCCTATTTCACGTCCCTCTGTTCATCCTATTTCCTAGATCAATTAAGGCAACGTTTGGGAGGAAATTATAGTTCCATGATATATTTTTTTTAAAGCAGAGTCCATGAAAAACCACATATAGTATTTTAATTAGCAAAGGCGCCAATTTCATAAAAGCTTAGAATAACATTTTCTATTTTGTTCCATAGTCTTATTTGTCATGTTTCATATTTTCATTGACTTCTTTGGTCAGAGTTTACTGCTCCAGCATCTTCCTGGAAGAGTCCACAATTGCACTGAGTCTATTTTAACTATTTCCCTCTAGACTCAAGGCATTAACTTGTACTTGTCTACATAGATACTCCCCTGCCACTTTTCTATAAGCTCACATAGCCTGGCACTTTCTGCTATTTATATTTGTTAGCTTAGCTGCTGCTTAAAAGCAGGGGCAGTTGGGGTGCCTGGCTGCCTCATTTGGGAGAGCATGTGACTCTTGATTTCCAGGTTGTGAGTTCGAGCCCCACGTGGGGTAGAAAGATTACTTAAGTAAAACTTGGAAAAAAAAAAAAAAAGCAGGGGTAGGTGCTCATAAAGAGATAAAACTGGCAGCAGCAGCCCACAAGGTGTGATGGGAGAGTAGGGCTCCTTCCCCTAAAATAACCCCATTTTAGGATCACTCCTTTATCTGGCTGTTGAAAGCTCTTTGTCTCTATAAAATGCTAAAGTGTTTGGGAGACTTCAAATTTTATTGGTTAAGCTGAGTTATGAGATAACATTCTCGTGGAGAGTAATTAACAAAAAGTAGTGAGGATGTCAAAGTGGGACTGGGACCTCCCTGAGTAGGAGGACCGACTTAGAAAGGGAAAAAAAGAGCACTAAAAAGGAAGGAGTGGGGGGGCACGTAAACGATTTGCCTACATAATATCTTGTTTTTGGGACCTGAAACACAGTGTTCAGGAAAGTACTTTGAAATTAAGTATTGTAGTTCAATGAATTATTTTTCTTACTGTTTGCCCATTATTCCTCACAGACAGTTTGTAGGTGATCTGTAGGGAGCCTCAGAGTTTAGGGACTCCTTGGGTAGTGATGGATTTCCTACTCCTTTTTCGGGTTGGTAAGCCAATCCCATAGTAATTCAGCTTTAAAAAAGATTTTAGGTTGGGGCACCTGGGTGGTACAGTCGGTTAAGCCTCCATTCTTGGTTTTGGCTCAAGTCCTGATCTCAGGGTCCTGAGATCCACGCTTCAGCATGGACTCTGCTTGAGACTCTCTCTCCCTCCCTCTGCCCCTCCCCCGTACTCTCTCTCTCTCTAAAATAAATAAATCTTTAAAAAAGATTTTTGTGGAGAATATTTTCAAAGGTGTAAAAAATCTTAACTAAATTGTTTCTACTTGCTTCCTCTTAAACCCGCTGTTCACTTCCTTGGAAGAACATGGTGCTTCAGTGCCACCCAAACTGGACGCGGACACTCAGGGCTACTGATTTTACACGCAGTCTTTTAAACGCCAGTACTGAAAACACTTCTGGGGGATCTGGGGAGTCGGGCCACAAAGTCAGCGAAAAGCTCTGTACAAAGAAATAAGCCATGTTCTCTCCGTCCATGATATGCAAGGCGTTGTACTCACTTGTCACTTGTCACCTTTCAAGGAGACCTGCGAGGCCCGGGAAAGGCAAGACGCACCAAGTCTGTGCCTGCGGAAAACAGCAATCTGAGCGGCGTGAGCTGCGCTAGGAGACGCCAAGTTTTGCCGGCTCAGAGCAGGCGGCCAGGTGGAAGCGCGCGCCCTGCGCCTCCGCCGCCGTCCCCGGGCCGGCCAATCAGGAGGCGGGCGGGAGGGGGCACGGCCGGCCGGGGCGGGGCCGGTCTCGCTGCTCCGGGGTCGGGTCGCTGCCGCGCGGGGCGGGCACCTCTCGCTTCCCGCGGCCATGGAGCGGCTGACTTTGCCTTCCGGCGGCGCCGCGGCCGTGGGCGAGTACCTGGAGTATCGGAGGTGAGGCTGCGGCTCGGCTGGGCCAGGAGAAGCCAGGCGGGCCGCGCCCCCCTTGCGGGAGGAGTGCGGGGGCAGGGGGGCGGGGGGCCCGGACGGGGGCCCGGCGCCCACCCCCTGGGGGTCCCGGAATCTGTTCCCAGGCGGCTGGGAGAGGCTTACTTATCTTGATTTAAGTTTTGTCTTTTTGTAATTAAATATTGTAATGACATGTAGTTCTGATAAGTTTCTTCCGAGGCTAAGAGGTCTCCCGCTTCGACCCTTTCCAAGACGGATTATTCACTCTTAAATTTATGTAGAGGCCCAGCTGTTTTTTCTAAATGGCCATTGGAGAGTTACACTGTGAGTACTCGGGCCTTATAAGAAATAGCAGACGTCGTTTGCATGTTAGTTTAGTCGTAGGGTATGTCGTGAATTTCCAACCGTGCTCCCAACCCCGAGGTGCTGGTTTTAGGAGACAGACTGGTGTAGTTTCGGTGGTTCCGGAGAAACTCCTCTCACGTAGCTGCCCCTTTGGCTTGAGGACGCGACTCGCTGCCCTGGGCCCTGACAAAGGCTGATGCACCTGCGGAAACGTGTTATTTTTTTCCCCGTCTCCCAAGAAAGGTTTTTGGCAGTTGGGAGATTGGGTGAGTAGGAATTCCTGAGGAGGTTGTAGTAGGAGGATGTGGGGTTGAGGGCGCCAGGGGTGGCGGGGTCCGGGGGGGGGGGGGTTTGGCCGGGGGGGGGGGGGGGGGAGAGGATAATGTATGTATATACACGGGAAATGAGGCAAATCACTGCTGCCTGGGAAATCCCAGCGGCCTTGAAAACCTGAGCGAGAGTGGTTGTTCTGCTTAAAGGTGGTCGCCCCAAATCACCCAGGGTTGTTAGGGCAAACGTTTTCCTTAGCTGACCTTCACTCCTTCTGACTGTCTCGGTGGTATAGTTTTGGGGAGCACCTAGAAATGGTTGGTAATTCTGAGCCAGACAAGTAAGAATGAGGAGCTTCATGGGTCAGGCCTCATCCCCGGGTCCGGTGGGTCCAGGTAAGGCCATGAGTCCCGTGCCCAGAACAGTTTCCACCAAGCGCTCACCAGGGCTGGGCCGGCTTCTTTAGGCTCCAGGTCTCCAAGGCTTTTCCCTGGGAGCAAGTTGCTAGGCCTTGGTGTTGATTGATAACTTAGATCTTTAGATGTTTAGATATGTGGATTGTGGGCCTCCAGCTATGGTCTCTTGCCTGGTCCAGAAAATGTTAAGACTGGTGGAAAATTATTTTTGCAAATATAAATAACCAGGAATAGTTCACTGTAAAGTTAGAGCCTTGCTATTCAAAGTGTAGCAATCATGGACCAGCTGTGTAGGCATCACCTGGGAGCTTGTTAGAAATGCACACTCTCAGGCCCACTCCAGACCTATTAACCTAAATCTGCATTTGAACTAGATCCCTTGGGGATTCTGTAACTACTGTAAAGTTTGAGCTGTGCTGGTTTACCAGTCAAATATAAATGATCTCTATCTTTAAAGACCTGCATTGATCTTTTTTCCCCCAGTACCTATTGATACGCTACATGGTAGCTATTATAATGTGAAATGATCCAAAACGTTTCTCAGAATAAAATGTCCCCCCTTTTTTTAACTATTGTGTATCTAAATTATTTAATTAAGGAAGAAGGTTGTGATGGTTTCATAGCTTCTGAATTGGTTTTATTTATCTACCTCAGCTAAAGGCTTGAAAGTATGGAAAAAGGTATGGATTGCACAAAAAATTAAGTAGCATTCTACAAACAACATCTTTCATGGCTTTTAAGGGATGATGTTTTCAAGGAAAAATTTCTTCAATTTTGAACAAATTCTTTTACTTGTGCTTCCTTTTTCTCCAGGGATGCCAACTCTTAATTTCTCCAGAAATTAAGCAATAGTGGTGGCTTAATTTTTCCCATAAAACTTTGAAGTCAAAGTTTTGGAATTAAAGGATGATTACTCAATATAGATGTGGGTTTGAGCTTGTGCAGATCCAAGGGTATTTGTGGGTTTAAACTCCTCGCCAGGGTTTGGGTTCGCATTACCCATGTTGTCTTCGGCACTGATGTTTTTTTTGTACTATTGTTTTTTGGGAGGAGTACTGTTTTTAAAGGAGGAAAATATTAGTTTAGACTCTAGCTTTTAATGAAAAGAATGAGCGTGTTTGCTTCAGAATCAAAGGAGAAACTGAGATTGAATTTGTGGTAATTGTCCAGTGGTAAACCTGGATCAGTAAAGTCAGATGTCATGAGTTCATTGACTTTTATTTAATTTAGAATCCTCTTTTACTTGGGAAAGAAAAGCTTTATTCCTATTGTGTGTAATTTTGCTATTAACATAAGTCTAAAGTAAAAAATCAAATCTGAAGAAGCATTTCTTTTGACTATTCAAGTATAGTTTATTTTTAGAGTATAGTATTTTTGACCTGGAAAATAAATATTCAAGGCTTAAGAGAAGTTTTTGTTGTAGAATTGTCGGTGAGGACGATGGAGGGAAACTTTTTACTCCTGAAGAATATGAAGAATACAAAAAAAAAGTATTACCTATGCGCTTACAGAACAGATTATTTGTGAGCTGGCGATCACCAACTGGAATGGATTGTAAGCTTGTGGGTCCAGAGACACTGTGTTTTTGTGCACATAGGTAAGATATTGCTAAGTTTTCTGGTGATTAGAAAATATAAAACTGTATCAGAGTGTATCTTCCTTCTATAAATAACATTACTTGTGATAATTGAGAAATATTTAAAAGTAGGCTTTTATATAATACCCTAGAAATTGTCTAAAGTGGTTTTATTTTTTTGCTATAATTAAAAATTTCTCTTCTATCCTATTAGAACTCATTGTGGAGTCCATAACCCTAAGCATCTCTTCTCTTGCATTTGGTGCCTGCCCCTGCAGCTTTGCCAGGGGTCTACTTCTCCCACGACTGGATAAGTTAGTAAAGGGTGGGTCATCAGAATGCAAAATTGCTTTAAGAGTTGCTTGAGTTGACCCACACTGAACAGGTTACCAGTCTACAAATAGAAGCATTTCTCCTTACATTTACTCATCTCCCTTTGTTTTAAGAAACGTGTTGTGTTGATACCTTTCTTTAAACAAACAAAAATACAAGCACACAGCTTTTTATTACAAATGGTCCTTTTCCAAGTAAGGCATGTGGAGGAAAGAAAATGCAGGAGGCTCCAGTCACCGATGTGTATTGCCTGTACCTGAGGTTTGCATTTGGCTGTGTTTGTTGTGTTCTACTTTATATTTTACTGCTGTCACAGGTCACAGTTGTAAAGCTCAAAAGGACAAAGCTGCTTCTTGGAAAAATCACAGAACCTATTATGTGTTTTCAGGTAACAACTTTTTAACTTTCTGTTCCAAACAAAGCATGCAAGGAGAACCACCCTGTTCTCATAGTTTCTGGGGCTCTCTCATGAGAGACTCTTTGTATGGTTGCTATTTACATACAGACTTGCCATCTGCCAAAGGTTGTTAAGCAGTTGCTAGGATGAGTAATGTTGTATATAGATTGACTTGAAACTTATTTAGCAACCCCAACTAAAAACACTTTGGAGGAATGGAGGATGAGGATTATGTTGAGCTCTTTCAGAGTTCAAGAGGAGTTTGGTAAATTTGTGTTGGTTTTATCATTTATTCTTGTACAAATTTAGTGCCAGTCTCATATATGCATAATTATGTAGCATGGAATTAACTTTCAAAATGAACCCAAGCCAACTTCCATGGAAAAGTTCTTCAGTACTGGTCACTCAGTGAGATCTCTGTCTAAACTATTATTTTTTCCCTATTATAAATATTATAATTATTATTAAGGTAAATGAAGAATATATAGAAAAATAGAAAACTCACCACCCAAAGCTAGCTGCTGTCAATACATTTTACTATATTCATGTATTTTTTTTTAAAGATTTTATTTATTTATTTGACAGAGAGAGACAGCCAGAGAGAGAACACGGCAGGGTAAGTGGGAGAGAGAGAGGCAAGCTTCCCACAGAGCAGGGAGCCCGATGCAGGGCTCGATCCCAGGACCCTGGGATCATGACCTGAGCTGAAGGCAGATGCTTAATGACTGAGCCACCCAGGCGCCCCAATGTATTTTTTCTTTACATAGTTCATTTGGTTGTAAATGATGTGTGCGTATAAATATTGAACAAGTTTTTAATGACAGAGTCACAGAAATGTGTTTCCACATTGTTATGTGGTAATCACAAATAAGATTTTTTTTTTAGGATTTTATTTATTTATTTATTTGAGAGAGAGAGACAGAGATAGTGAGAGAGAGCACAAGCTGGGAGGAGAGGGAGAAGCAGGCTCCCAGCAGGGAGCCTGACTACACAGGGCTCATCTTAGGACCCTGAGATCATGACCTGAGCCAAAGGCAGACACTCAACTGACTGAGCCACACAGGCACCCCCACAAATAAGATTTTTAATACCTGCTCAATATTCTAGCTCGTCCAGTGGTGTTCATTGTGTGTTCCCCAGAGCTGTGAGGGAGTCTCAGTGGTACCACATGAAAGGGCAGGTTCGAGGAAGGACAGACTCTAATTCTGGCTCTTTCCCTCGCTTTAACCAATTTTGCTTTTATCTGTTTTATATATTATGGTTCTGTAAGAGATTTTATTTGCAGGAGGGGTTTCACTGCTAGGAATTTTAAAAACTGTTGTTTATTGATTTACTGATTCATTCCCTTATTAATATGTTGTGTATTGCTGTTGTAAGTACTGTTGCTTATACTGTCTTTATGCACACAACTCTTTATACACAGAATTATTTTCTTGAGGTATATTTTTGAAAAATGAACTCTGGGTTAAAGGATTTTTTTTTACTATTAAATTTGATTTTATTTTTATTGAAGTATAGTTGATATATAACATTAATTTAAGATGTGTAACAGTGATTTGACAATTATATACATTAGGAAATGCTGTATGTGAAATTATATAAACCATGGAAGGTATGGATGGATCTTTTTAAGTTTCTTAAAACATTAAATGAGAGAGGTTCTTCTATAACACGGCACTGAGGTTCTTCTTGACAGCATTGTGAATTATGTATAGTTTTAAAAAAATGTTGGTTCTCTTTGCTAAGTGAAAAATGGTATCTCATTGCTATTTTAACTTGTACTACCTAAATATTAAGAATAATAAATTTAATATTATTTTATTGTGTATCACCTTAAAAGCAGGAAGCGAGTGGCCTATTTAAGAAAATTACAGTGTTTTAACAAAGCTTTGGCTTTTAAAAATGTTGACAATTTATTTTGAAGTTAAAAGTTAAAAACTAAATCATATTAAAATAAATTACATTCATGTATGTTTATTGAATTTATTTCAGTTTTAAATAGCAAACCTATGAAAATAAATTTCAGTAATGTACTTTGATAAAAAGAATTTTTTTAAAGAACTTTTTCCACACTCTTAGGTTGTGCTTCCATATTAAAGAATCTTTAGTGGTAAGTACTTAAAGGGAATTATATTTCTTTGTATATTGCTGTGAAAATTCTTCTTAAATAACTAAATATAAAAATCTAAAAGAGTAAAGGTTTTTTCTGACCAAAGCAATTTGTGACGGAGCTGACAGAAAGAGTGTAAGGGAGTTTATTTTCGCCTTACTAACAAGAACAGCAAAATAAAAATAAAAAAGAATAATCTGCGTTTAACAGAATAGAGATTGTAATTTCCAGCAATCCCTGCATTGTTTTTGTTTCTTCCCTTTTATCTTATTCATTTTTTAGGTATAAACAACATAAAACTGACTTTGAAACGATTCCACAGCAGCGCCCCATCAGTCTCCCTTGCCGAGTGAGCGGCTGCGGGTGCAGGGCGTACCTTTACGTCCCTCTGAACGGCACCCAGCCCATTCGCTGCAGGTGCAAGCACCTTGCGGATCAGCACAGCGCTGCGCCCGGCTTTCTCTGCAATGCCTGTGAGTTACATTGTTATAAACACACCGACAGAATGTTGTCTTTCTTTAGTGGATATTTAATGCGTCTTTGTGCCAGTTTTATTCAGCTGCGTAGTCAATATTAAACAACTCAGAAAAGTTTGATGGACAACCACTCTAAAATGTTATTTTCGCGGAAAAACTCTGAGTTATTTGTATGTTTTGCACTCATAAACCCTAATCTCATGTAACTCAAATAGGTTAAATAATAGTAATAGATTTTAAAGAATACCTAGACGTGATTTGATTTAAATTTTAGTTTATTTATTTTTAAATAGGCTCCATGCCCAACAGGGGGCTTGAACTCACAACCTTGAGATTTACAGTTGTATGCTCTACTAAGTGAGCCAGCCAGGTGACCCAGATTTAAATTTTTGAATGGGAATTTTATCAACTAAATTCTTTTGACAGGTTTTTAAAAAGGATCTGATAAGTTGAAAAAAATTTTTATAATTTGCTGGCAGATTAGAATGTTATTGCCTAAAACATAGGCTGATGGGAAAAGCAAAAGGGATTGAAATATGTTATAAAACATTTTTAATGACAGTGGCAGGAATAAATGTATTTCACTGGCTAAGTATGGAAGTAGTTGGATAAAACTTTTTGTGTGCCTTTGTTCCCATACACATTTTTTAAGAAGTGTGAGTGTGTAAAATTTTGTTAGTGGTGTATTCTGGCCTCCACTTCAGTATTGTTTTTTTAAAAAGAATATATAACACTTTTATTAAGATGTAATTCCCATACCAAATAACTCATCCATTTCATGGGTACATTTTAGTGGTTTTCTAATATACTCATAGAATTGTGCAACCATCACCACAGTCAATTTTAGAACATTTTCATCACCCCCAAAAGAAACTCCATATCTATTAGTAGTCATTCCTGATTCCTTCCTCTCTCCAGCCCTAGGCAACCAATAATTACTCCCTGTCTATATGGACTTGCCCTATTCTAGACATTTCATATAAATAGAATCATAGAATATGTAGCCTTTTGTAACTGGCTGCTTTCACTTGCATAAAGTTTGTATGAGTCATTCGTGTTGTAGCATATGTGTCAGTACTTCTTTGCTCTTTATTGTTAAACAATATTCCATTGTGTCCTGGGTTGGCTTTCCTATAAGGCTTTTATGGGGCCTTTATCCACAGGGAGGCCTCCACATGATCTCTTCACCTGGTCCTACCACTGGGCCGTCCACACCTGCTTTTAACTCTGTATTTGAGGAGAGGGCCTACATTTCCTGGCTTTCCAGTGTTGGCGCAATTTCTTTCAGTGCTGGTTGGTTTTTCCGATGCTTTTTCCCCACGCTACATACCTTATCTTTCTCACTTCAGCATCTTACAGAAGAGCGGGGCTGGGAGGGAGTTTGGGGGCTGGAGGCTAGAGTTTTAGAGGCCATAGGACAGCCTATAAGGGATCCAGATCCAGGTGATTGTGGCCAAGCTGAGCATTTTTAGGGCAGACGCTTTAGTACCTATATTTAAAGACCTTTAACTCCCTTTACATCTTGATTCAGGTTCCAAGTGTTCAGGATTCCATAGTTGCTTCACTTGTGCTTGTGGTCAGCCTGCGTATGCTCATGACACAGTGGTGGAAACTAAGCAAGAAAGACTGGCTCAGGGCAAGCCAGTGGGACAGGATGTTCCTTATGCGGCAATGGGAGGCTTAACAGGTTTCAGCTCACTGGCGGAAGGCCACATGCGGTTAGATGACAGTGGGATTGGTAAGTGATGACCGATGAAACATGAGTTTGTCGTGTTGTTTTTATGTGTACTGACGATAGCGAAGCCCTGTTTGTTTCACACTTTATATTCTTTAATTTTTTTCCAGAAAACATTCTCTCATTGGATTTTTATTTTTTTATAAAGGTTTTATTGCCACGATACAATATATGGTCCTTATAGAAAACAAGAAGAAAGATCACTCCTACCCCAATACTTGTACCCAAATCCCAACGCACAACCCTGTTGTTTGTGATAGCTGAGTATTTCTTTTATTTGATACGTTGCACTTTTCCTGTTTCCCTATTGTACATAATTTTTTGCTATTATAGCCATCTCATTTTGGAAACAGGCTTATGTCCATGTGTGCATATGCCCATGCACATGTATACATGTTATCACATTTATAAGAATGTATGCACACACTGCTTGCACACATGAAAGTTTTAAGTAATATAGGGAAAAGTTCAGTTGGATATATCTTGAACTATTGAAGGTAGCTGGATTCTTCTTTTTTTTTTTTGATTCTTCTGAAGTTGAATAGGATTGGGGAGAAGAATACAGTTCCTATCTACTTTAAATACGTCTGTGTATATGCATTTTTTTGTATTCAATTTTTTTCAGTACAAAAATTACATAAATATAAATGAATATTTTCTTGTAAAAGATTCAAACAATAGAAACGAAGTATTGTAAGGCCCCCTTGAACACATTTCTCTTTACCCCAGATTCTTTCCAGAGGGTAATTTGCTGTCATCAATTAATCATTAATTTTTCTTTTTAGCTTATATTTTTATAGTTTTTAACTTGGAAAAGAGTTGAAGGCCTGTCATATGAGAACATGCAAATCTATTTAATTCTTTTAAACCCCTGCGTAATATTCCACGCTGTCAGTTTATCAGGTTTTCTAAGCTCTACTGTCAGTTTTTCTAAACCTTGTTCACGGCATTTAGATTGTTTCCATTTTTTTCTTTTTTGCCTTTACAACTAGCCCTGCCAAAAACATCCTTGAACTTGCTTCCTTTAATGCTGCATAAATCGGACCCTAAGGTAGATACAGAGAAGTAGAATTGTTGGGTTGAAGTGTGTGAAATTTTGTTAATACATCTGTCAAATTGCCTTCCAAAAATGCTATACTTGTTTATACTTCCTCTAGATTTTTTAGCTTCCCTATTTCTCCCATTTATGCTGATCATTGATATCATCAAACCCAATTTTTTGTCATTCTGATGTGTGAAAATGTTACTGTTTCAGTCTGATTTTGATTTCCCTGGTTATTAGTGAGATGAAAGTCTTCTGGTATTTATTGGCCCTTTTACTTTCTGTGACTTGTCTGTTACATACTTAGCTCACTTTTGTGTTTTTATCTTTTTTCATTTATAGGCGGTCTTATATATTCTGTATACTAATCTTTTGTTATTTCTTTTTCTTTTAATATTTTATTTACTTATTTAACAGAGATAGAGAGCACAAGTAGGCAGAGCGGCAGGCAGAGCGAGAGGGAGGAGCAGGCTTCCCACTGAGCAGGGAGCCCGAAGTGGGGCTTGATCCCGGAATCCCGGGATCATGACCTGAGCCGAAGGCAGACACTCAACCGACTGAGCCACCCAGGCGCCCCTCTTTTGTCATTTCTTTTGCAGATATTTTCTTCCAATCTGTCCTTGTTTTTTATTTTTTATACAGTTTTTAAATTTTGGAGGCAATTTTATAATTATGTTCACCTTCATTTCACCTTAATACTTAATTTTTTTTGTTTTTATGTTTAGCTTTTTCATGAATTTGGAATACATTTTTGTGAAAGTGTGGGGTATATATAACTTCAGTTTTTGCCCAAATTGGTAGCTAATTATCCAAACACCATTCTTTCCCTAATAATTTGAAACTTTACCTTTCTCATATTCTGTCATACTCACTATTTTGTGGCATTGGCCTCTTTGTCTATCTTGTACAATATTACTTATTTTTAATTATTATTTTTCGTAGTGTGTTTTGATAAACACAGGTAAATGCCTCCTGTTTGTGTTTTTTTTCCCCCCCAAGATTCCCTTGGTATATCTGTGTATTTCCTCTTCTAGGTAATTTTATGACTAGCTTGTTAAATTCCATAAATAAATCATTTTTCAATTTTCATGGGTGCATGATTGTATTAAGCTCATGGAACAGTTACAGAAAATCCAGTTCCCAATGGCAAAAAATAATAATAATGATGTTGTTGATGACAATTGCAGCTTTGACTTCCGCCGTCTTTCCAGCCTCTTTACATCTATTAACTCATTTAGTCCTCACAATAACTGAGTTAGATGCTATTATTACTCTTATTTTACAGATAAGGAAACTCAGCACAGAGAAGTACAACATCTTGTTCTTTGTTATTCAGCTAGTAAATGGTAGGGTTGGGTTCAAACCAGAAATCGTTCTGGGCTAATCGGTCGGCCTCATTGTTGTCTATTTCTGTGCACCTACCATGCTGTTTTCAATACTAAACTTTATAATAAGTTAATATTTATAAGTTCATTGCATTACTTAAGAATTTTCCTGACTTATTCTTACTAATTTTTTTCAGAACTTTGGCATTATTTTTTGACAACATTCTATTATTACAAAACATTCTATTTTTACAAGAACATTCTATTATTTAGTTGATATCATGTTGAATGTATAGGTTAATGTAGGAAGAATTGATATTTTTAAAATGTTGAGTTTCTGCATTTGTCTTCTGTGTAGCTGAGTGGAATTCTGAAGTTATCTTCATGGAAGTCCTCAGTCTATTTCTTAGTTTTCTTAATTTTATTTGTGGGTATTTCATTTTTTTATAGCTATCATATGTCGGGTTTACTCCTTCCTTTATATTTTCTAGCTGATTGTTATTTGTTTATAAAAAAACCTGATGTTTTATGCTGTTTTTGTTACTAGTCCTTTATTTCTTAATCTTAGAGTTTAAAATAAATGTTTGGTTGATGTTGTAAATTACGGTATTTTTTCCTTTTCCAGTATTTCTGGCTCTTACGCTTGACTAATTACAAAGGCTCGTTCTTGCAGAGCAGTGCTAAGTAATCGTGGGAATAGCTCGCATCTTTGCCTTTTTGTGCCTTCTAGTATTTTATCACTTAGGCATCTTTATAACAAAGAGAGAAAACCTCCCGCTTTTGGCCCCTGAAGGAAGGTGGGTGAGGAAGGTGAGAGAGAGGAGAGGAAACAAGATGTCTTTGTCTTGATTTCTGCTCGAGGGGAGCCTGGGGCGGAGGGACGTCTGTTCTATCAGCCCTGTAGAGTCCTGGACAGAGGTGACAACTTGCTGATTTGGTTCCTTTATGATGCAGAAGGGGTCCCTAATGCTCAGCTCCTAGTGGGTGGGTGGTTGGAAGGCAGCTGAGCCGTTAGGCAGCGGACCTGCCGTGACTTTTGTCCTAGCAAGGGGCTCCCGAGCAGAGCTAGAGGTGGGTCCTCGGAACTCTGGGGGATTCAGTAGAGGAAGTGGCAGGCATCAGGGGGTCCATACTTGCAGTGAGAACAAGTGTGAGGCCCTACCGAGCTGCGAGACTAAATCACCACTTACCAGCCTTGAGTATTTGAGATCAGCAGTGCATGCAGCAACCAGAGCACCCCACAAGGACCTCAGTGGCCCTGAGTGCCTTCTCTTACACCCCGTCCAGCCACACCAGAGAGGAGCTGGGGAAGGAGGGGCAGGAAACTGAAAGAATGAGCAATTGTCCCACACTGTTTAGGTTATAAGAAAGGACTCATTTTAAAAACCAAATATGATTAATTTTTTTAAAGATTTTTTATTCATGAGAGAGAGAGAGAGAGAGAGAGAGAGGCAGAGGGAAAAGCAGGCTCCCAAGGAGCAGGGAGCCCGATGCAGGACTCAATCCCAGGACTCTGGGATCATGACCTGAGCTGAAGGCAGACGCTTAACCATCTGAGCCACCCAGGCGCTCCCCAAATAGGATTAAAAGTTTATTTCCTTCCCTCTATTTGCTCTATGCGAGAGGGATGTAGGGGAGGTGGTGGTTTGTGAAGAAGATAGAGCACTTACTAATTTTCTCCATAGCTTCCTTCCTTTTGATCTAAAAGTCTATGTATTTAGCAATTGGTCTTTGTCATTTTGTGGTGTGGGGTTGTGGATATTTCCTCATTTCATTGAGTTTTTCTTTATTTTTCATACTTTGTTTTGAGATGATTTCCCAGTGAGGAACAGAGTAAAAAATACAGTTATTCTGCTCTCTTCAACTGTAGGTTCTTTGTCATGAATGTCTTGCTTTTGATAATATTTTGGTGACTATATTAAGGTTTTGTACCTCTTTGTCATAGTTACATTCATGCATAACTTTTTTTTCTGTGAAAAATATCTCTGAGAAATACAAACATACTTTTACCTAATTCCCTTTACTTTATATGGCAGATAAAAATCTAAATAAAAATTTCTTTTTTATAGAAAGGTTTTTTCTAATTATTCTGTTGAGATTCTAATTTATATTGCATTGAAATAACTTTTTTGTATCCCAACAAATGGAGGTTTAATTTTCATTCTTCATATATTTTGTTCTTAGGTGCACCTTCAATTGAATTTTTAGACTCTCCAGTTACAGCTATGGACCACCCATTTCTGAAAGCATTTCAAGCATCATCTAGTTCTTCTCCAGAAACACTGACAGATGGTAATGAAATTAAAGTGACAAATATTTTTGGATGTAGTAAATAAGAATGTAGATTGATTTATTTTCTAGGTCATTTTTTCCTCAGTATTACTACAATTTGGTTATCATTTTATTTTTATATTGGCCTTGGACTGAGAAAAAGCAGGAAGCTTTTTTTTTTTTGAAAATTGCTAAATCTGAGAATTATGAGGTTCTAATAATACAGTAATTTGAAGTTTTAAAACCTTACACGTTATTGCTTTGATGTCTGAAAAAGAGTCCTCTAGTGGCTCTCCCAAAAGCAGGATGTAACCCGGTGGTAAGTTTAGGTTAGAAAGGTTGTGTCATTTATAAATTATACATATACATATAAATTGTACATATGCATTATACACATATATGAATTTTATTCCTTTATAAGCACAAGTATTCTATTTTCTTTATTAAAACAAGAAAAAAAATTGAAGAAGTAATTTTTATGATGCATTAGGTATTTAATATTTACAAATATTTTTAAATGAGAATTTTCTTTTTATTAGCGTTTTCATGCAACCTTTTCATGTACCCTGACTTTCTCCACAAGGGACTTTAGGGCTGCTTACACAAACACCCAGCAAAGTAATGTTAAAATATAGATAGGAGAAATCAAAACCAAGAAAAAGGACACAGTTGTGTCAACTTTCAAGGTTGATGTAATTGCTGCTGTTGAGGTCCGAGGCAGACATGGTCCTTCAGAACTTTTTTTCAGAAGAAGACAGGCACACTTGTCTGCCGTGTGGTCCTGAGAATCCGTTTACCCAGGCCTCTCGTTGTGGGGTGGGGGCGGGATAGAGACAGTTCCCCATCCCAAAGGCTCAGTGTGTAGATCTTTCAAGATGGTGGAGATGAAGTCCGAGGCTTCTTCTGCCTATTTCTGTCTGGCCAGACGTTTGCTCTCTCTGGTCACTGTCCTGGCGCTGGGCTATTTCATGTAGGTTGTCTTCTGGCCTCAGAGTGTCCCTTGTCAGAGCCTTGGGCCCCTGGGCCTCTTCACTCAGGACTTGGTGGACCATATCACACCCTCCTACACAGTGGCCACTGGCTTGCCTGGCTGATTCATTTGGGAGAGTCCTCGTAGCCATGGTTTTGTGTAAGTCTAAAGGCATCATGGATGGTCAGGCTCAACTACTCTGGTTCCTACAAACTTTCCCCTTTGGGATGGCACTCTCTCCATCTTGATTGCTTGTAGACCAAAATGCCAAAGACACACTTAAAGAAGATATCCAAAAGCTTTCTCTATGTTTTTGACATTCAACTTCACTGTTTTGGGGGTGGGGGAGGGGGCTGCTGGGGGCTGCTGAGTTTACTTGATCTTTCTACTTTCGGAAACTGAAGACCCTCTAGTTATTCATTATTCTTTCATATGCTCTGGTTGAGCTTGACTAGATAATAGGGAAGGATTTAAGCTTCCCAATTCTGCAGACTCACCTGTTTGGCCGAGGGCTTCCAGCTACCTTCTTGAGGCCCTTGGCAGTGTTGGTGCTCTTTCTATCGTGTGGATTAAACTGTGTCCTAAAACTGCTTGTTGGTGTAACTTTGCTCCCACCTTCTGACTAAAACACCATACCCTTACCACCCCATCTTAGCTCTCCTTTCCCCAAATTTTTTGCACCTTTCTGAACCAAGACAGAATGACACTCCCAGGACACATCAATTCCACACACATAGGCACCAGTGAGGCAGGATCTTCTCCTCTCAGACTTCCATTTCTCACACACCAAGAAAGATAAGGAAGATAAGCAAGTGCCTGGAATGGGCCAGGCCGAGCAGTAACCTAGAGACACAGAGGACACACTGAGTACCAAGAGGAGAGGATCTGGAATGGCCTTCCCTGATCATGTCAGCCAGAAGCCGTCTTTCCCTCCACACAGCCCCGAGGACACAGTACTCCGTGGTGTGCAGGGGTCTGATGGCCACTGCTAGATGGCTCCTTCCGGTCAAGATCGCATCTTAGCTTGATTTTTTTTCAGCACTGTCCCCCTTGCCTTGTACACAGGTGTTCTATCAGTGTTTTCTGAACCATGGACAGAAACTCTGAATTAACTTTCCACTGTTCAGTATCATTCCACTTGTTCTATGAAAACTGCAGAACCCACTCAGTGTATTCTCTTCTCAAAGAAAAGCACAGGGCCACCCTTGACTGGTGGTGCCCCCTTTCTGTGGGTCCCCCAGGAAGAAACCTGTATCTTTTTCACACTTGCCTATTCTTAGTCACTTTCTCCAGACTCTGTAACGTCTCCCTTTAGCTCCATCTTACTCAAACACAGACATTCCTGAGCTAGAGATTCTAACTGAAAGCTAGTTACTACCTGTCCCATTCACCTGGTTAGACCTTTTTACTGCTGACTGGTCAGGGCCGGAGGGTCACTGACTCTGTTCCCTGACCTTGGCAGAATGACTGTTTCACCTAGGAACCATTAGAGTTCCTTTGGAAGATCATGTGCCTGTTCTCTAGGAACTAGACCTTATTTTTCTTCTTTGATGCAGTAGGGCATGTTTTCTGTTTTACGCAAACATTTATGAGCGATAACTCCTCCCCGCAGAAAGAGGCCCTAAGTAAAAGTACAACCCTGAAAGATTATGGACTATGAATTCTTTCTGGTGGAGATCACTTTCTGCAACTAAATCTCAGTTTTTCCTGTTTCTCTTGTGATGAAGGGGTTGCCTTTTAGTAAGGGAAAAGATTTTTAGTTATAGAGTTAAACATCATGGAAATCCAATCCAAATATTTTAAAAGCATGGTCCTCTCGAAGAGAAATAGTAATGACAGTACTGTTAACAGTGACTGTAACAATATGGCAGATTATTGAATGAAATGAATTAACTTGAATAAAGGCTGTGATTTTCTATTTAAAATCTTCTCTTTTTAAAAAAAACCTTTTTTTCAGCAAATGTAGCCTGTGGTTGCTTATTTCTGATAGTCACTTTGATAAAAATGGTAAAAAACCACTTTACCAGATAAATGGTAACATACCATTAAAATGCAACTCAATGAAGGTGATTCTACAAGCAGCTTAGCTCAAATGATCCAACATGATTCAGGGAAAAGACCCAGAGTTTTGAGATGAACAGATAGCACATATACTAAGCATTTTTTCGTATTTTTCTCAACAAGGTTTTTGTTAGATAGTTGACAGAGTGTGGTTATACTATGTGGTGATTGTCTGGAGTGATATAATTTTTGTGTTGCTGGTTGAGGGTGAATTTATATGCTTTAAAAACAAGAACATGTGTTCAAGTTGATATTCTGTTTTGGATATGAAGGGACCCAACCAACACATTCACCTGAAATGAAGGTGAACTTTTCCATGGAACTGGGCCCTTAGTGTACCTACAAAGAAAACTTGATTTTCTTTCCTGAAGCAATTTTAAATTCCTTTCACAACTTAAATTAGTGCTTGTTTTAGTTTTAAAAAAAGTGAATACCGTGGAAAATGACTAAAGTTAGTTTTGAAAAATTTCAAAGCAGGTAGTATCTTGGTTGCTTATACAAACTGCCATCGTCCAGTCAGGTGCTATAACAAAATACCATAGACTGAGTAGCTTATACATGACTGAAATTTATTTCTCACAGTTCTGGAGGCTGGAAGTCCAAGATCAGGGTGCCACCATGGTTGTATTCTGGTGAAGGACCTCTTCCTGATCCACAGCTGGCCCCTTCTCATTATGTCCTCATATAGTGGAAGAGTTGAGGGATCTCTGTGGCGTCCCTTTTATAAGAGCCCTAATCCCATTCATGAGGACTCCACCCTTATAACTTAAGCACCTCCCAAAGACCTCACCTCCTAATACCATCACATTGGGCATTGGGATTTCAACATATGAATTTGAGGGCAACACATTCAAGACCATGGCACAAATCTTCTGTAATTACTTTTGTGCATTATCTGTTATGGTGTTATGTGAATTTCTAGTTTTGTTATAAAATTTAAAATATAGTTGAACAAAGCTAAGTGGGCTCTTGTGTGAAATAGCTATATGTTGTTGTTTAATATGCACCAGTTGCACATTAGGAGAATGTTTGCCAATAAAAGTTACTCTGTCTTGCAATGCTCTGCTTTCTTTCTTTTTTTTTTTTTTTTAAAGATTTTATTTATTTATTTGACAAAGAGAGACACAGTGAGAGAGGGAACACAAGCAGAGGGAGTGGGAGAGGGAGAAGCAGGCTTCACGCTGAGCAGGGAGCCCGATGTGGGGCTCGATCCCAGGACCCTGGGACCATGACCTGAGCCAAAGTCAGAGGCTTAATGACTGAGCCACCCAGGCGCCCCGCAATGCTCTGCTTTCTAAAGAATTAGGTAGGGGTGCCTGGGTGGCTCAGCCGGTTAAGCGTCCGCCTCTTGATTTTGGCTCAGGTCATGATCTCAGGGTCTTGGGATCAAGGCCCGTGTCAGGCTCCGTGCTCAGAGCAGAGTCTGCTTGAGATTCTCTCTCTCCCTGTCCCTCCCCCCCTGCCCCCCGCAAAAGGAATTAGGTAGTAGGATCAATTACCATTTAGACCATTCTGGTTTGAAAAATAAAAAAAACCACTGGTAAGAGGAAAGTTATCTTTCTGTTTTTTTTTTTCAATTTCAGCAGAATTTATAATTCCATAAGTATATTACTTAGAATTTTTTTTTTCCTTATTAGTAGGTACAAGCAGTCAAGTTTCTTCCTTAAAGAGACCTGAAGAGGATGATATGGCTTTCTTTGAAAGACAATACCAAGAGAGGGTAAGTCTGTGGTGAAATCTGCTTATATTAAGCATTTAACATGTGACAAAGACACAGTAGAATTACATATTCATTGTGGATCATCATTAAAAATAATTTATAGGGGCTCCTGGGTAGCTCAGGTGTTAAGCATCTGCCTTTGGCTCAGGTCATGGTCCCAGGGTCCTGGGATCGAGCCCGAGTCGGGCTCCCTGCTCTGCGGGAAGCCTGCTTCTCCCTCTCCCACTCCCCCTGCTTGTGTTCCTTCTCTCTCTGTGTCTCTTTCTGTCAAATAAATAAATAAAATCTTTAAAAAATTATTTTATAAAGCCTTTACTTATAGCTGGTGTTAGGCCTTGAGACTTACTTACAATGATTCAGAGAGAAATAGGATGAATGAATAATATGATATATAATATAATAGTTAATTTATGAAGATCATAAAGATTGACTAAATATATAGATAAAATTATCAATAATAAACATCAACTATCAGCAGATTTGTAAATTATATGTATGTTGAATTCTTTTTTTTTAAAGATTTATTTATTTTAGAGATAGAGTGTGCGTGCACAAGTGGGGGGAGGGGCAGAGGGACAGGGAGAGAATCTCAAGCAGAGGCCCTGCTGAGCAAGGGGTCTGACGTGGGGCTAGATCTTACACCTTGAGATCATGACCACAGCCGAAATCAACTCTTGCTGGACACTCAATTGACTGAGCCACCCAGATGCCCCTGTATCTTGAATTCTTAATATGTAATATTTCTTCTTCTCAGTGCATTCAAGGTATATCTAGACTCAAGTTAAATTACCCATTAGCCTTTAAGAAACTGAACACTAAATAAAAGTGTATTTAGGCAATTCCCAGGGCTCAACAACTATGGTATTGATGTGTTCCCAGCTTCCAGTAGTGATAATTTGCATCATTCTCTACCATACTATAAACTCCTTAGGGATAAACAGTATTTTATTCTTCTTTATATTTTCCCCAGAACAACTACAGTGCCTTGTATGTAATAAGTTTTCAATAAATATTTATGGAGAATTGAAAAAGGAAACACATATTAATTGATATTCACTTTCATAACATGTCATATGGTTAGACATTTGATGTGTTTCATGGCAGTGTTCATATTGAGAGTTTTGTTTTTGTTTGTTGCCTGATGAAAGTATGTTGGTTTGATGAGGTATGGGGGATGGTATCCAGCCATATGGTACGTTCGTCAAAGTGCTTTCCTTAGGATTATTTTATAGTTGCTCTGTGGGTGTTTATTATCTCTCCAACTGGGTAATAAGTGCCAGGAAAGTAAAGACACTCTTGTTACTTTTTACTGTAGCTTGTTGAGTAGCCAAAGGTGTGGCGACCATTAAATAAATTCACCTTCCAAGAGGAAGAGAAGGGAGTAGGGGACAGAGAGCTCAGCTTGGTTTCCCTGATGAGGAATTTTGAAGTAGAGGGGGAAAGTCCTGAATATGATTTAAGGCAGAGGTAGAAATAGAACTTTTTGCAGTGATGAAAATGTTCTATACCTGTGTTGCAGCTATTCATCATGTGTGGCTAGATAAGTCTAAATTTAAATAAATTAAAACTTAAAATTATTTTCCTCAGTCACACCAGCCACATTTCAGGTGCTCAGTAGGCCACATGTGGCTAGTGGCTACTATACTGGAGAGCTCTCATCTAAGAGAAAGAGGAGATAGTAGGATCTCAGGGAGGGAGATGAAATGGCCAGGGTGAGGAAAGAGAATGCTCTTTTTATAGCATCATTAAGGCTAGACTTTTAATCACATCAGTCTCCATTCTTGGAATACACGAGTTCACAGCTGAATTAGTTTCTCCTTCTTAGGCTTATGAGGGACAGGGTTCTAGAACTCCTTCTTTCCCTCCTCCAGAAGCCTGGGTCGTGCTGACTGCCTTGAAAACATGCCAGTGGTATTTGCCTGTGGGAAGATAATGGGGGGAGGGATTGTTTTAGAGGATATACCTGGCCAATCCAGACTGCTTATTATAAATAGACCTAGAATTTGTGGGTTTACAAGAGGTTGTTTATAACTCTCCAGCTTGTGTGATTTATGGATTTATGAGACACAGCTTATAAACTTTCCAGCCTGTGTGATTAATGGCATACAAAAACTAAGAAGCTCAAACCTAAACAACTTCCTCTAAGCTGACATGTATTATATGTGTTGTTAGTGCGTGAATTTTACTCCAGAAAAAACAAGATATGCACCGTTGAGGGAAAAGGGATGATTAGGAAGCTGAATCTGATGATGGGTCACAGCCCCTTTAGAAAGCAGGGCGATGTCTGTGTCTGGTTTTGCTTGCATCCTGGTACAATGGTAACATTTAGTGTGGGGAAAAATCTACCATAAGTGTGAGTTGGCTTTGATGATTGAAGCCTTTGTGGTAACATAGTTTACTTATTACTTTTAGGTATTATTAAAGAGTTGTTTCATTGCTTCTTTTATATATTAGGTCAAGTTATTTTCTTCCATTGTGAATGACCCTTGTTCTCTTATCTCTAAGAAAGGAGAATTTTATTAAGGAAACAATTATCAAAGGTGAAGTAGGTGCAAGGTGCTATTGCTGTTAGTGCCAGGAAATTGAAAAAGAAACAAAGGAGCAGGAGGGGGTATCTTTGCTCTTCAGACACTAGATTAGATGGATGTATTGCTAAGTACTATTTCAAGTGAGGAAGCCCTGCTTTGGCTTTGTTTGGTTTGCTTTGGCTTTGTTAGCATCTTCTCTCTCTCTCTCTCTCTTTTAGATTTTATTTATTTGACAGAGAGAGGGAACACAAGCATTGGGGTGTGCGAGAGGGAGAAGCAGGCTTCCCACTGAGCAGGGAGCCCGATGCGGGGCTCGATCCCAGGACTCTGGGATCATGACCTGAGCCAAAGGCAGACGCTTAACGACTGAGCCACCCAGGTGCCCCTAGCATCTTGTCTCTTTTTTGATGTTACTATAAATCTAACACTTGGCCCTAAATGAGAGAGGAAAAGGGACTAGCGTTTGTTGATTGCTTATTAAGTACCTGGATTTTATATATATGATCTCATTTATACCTTTAAAACAACCCTGAGAAGTACTTATTACTCTGGCCTTTTTTTTTTTTTCCCCCAAATGAGAAAACTGTTGGTGAGTCCAAAGCCTATAATCTTTGCCTTGGTATAGGGTATTCCTTTGGGGGTCCTTCAGATGACCTGTTGACTAATACAGTGTAAAAGAGTGATATGAATGTAGGGTTTTTGAATGAGAGTCCCAACCAACTCAGGAGAGAGAGGGGAAAAAATGGGGATGAGACAGAGGTGAGATATATACATTTTATTATTGGGAAGTTATTATTTATAATTTAAGGAGATTGGATAGACTGGTTTTACTGGGTCCCCTCTGGTTTCTTGATATTATTCCTATCACCTTAGAAGGTAGGAGGCCCTCCACCTACCATGCCCCATACTTTCTGTCCCTTTCTCTTACAGGGATAAGGCAGTGGGTACTGCCTCTGGGAATTGTAAGAGGCAAGTGGGCTTTGTGTTCTCTAGGGTCTTTTTTCCCATAGAAAGGATTTCAGTGTTTCTAAAGGTCAGAAGACCACTACTTAGGGTATGTAAGCTGCTTCTTTGCTTCAGTTACACTGGAGGGCAACCTTCAGGGAGGTAACTGTGGAAATGTGAAAACCAGAATTATAGGAAACTATCCTTAAAGCAGTCCATGTTCCAGAGATTATCTAGCTGCATTAGGTGTGTTCTTTAGGGAATGTGCATAGACCGAATGTAAGGTTAGGTATTTAGGCTTTCATAAAACAATTTTTTTAGTGGCATTTAAGTTAACTTATCAATTTGCTCCAAAACAATATTCACTCTATGTTATTTTTATTAAAATGCTTCTGCAAAGTTGAAATCATACCATATTTTAAAAAATGCAGTTAGGTCCCTTCGACTATTAGATTTTGCTTTAGAATTTAGCAGCTTAATCACTGCTAAATAAGTGTATGAAATGGCTGTGATGAATGAGACATGAATCAAATAAGGTGTGTACAACCTTTTTTTCTTTAGAATGTTTTACAAATTATTTTATCAACAAATATTTTAACTTTACAGATAAAAATGGAAAAGGTTGCTAAGCAGAAAGGAAAAGCATCATTGCCATCAAGTACAAAAGCTTCATGAAGACTATTGGGAAAATTAAAACCATCATCCAAATAGATCTTGTTTGTGTTTATTTAAATATAATAATACAGTTTATTTTCTCTCAAATTATTTACTTCTTTTACTATGTAAAAATGTCATTTTGGTTTTTTCCTTAATTTATTTAAACAAGTGAAAATACTTTGTTACTTTTATCAAAATTCATGATTTAATATTTTGTATATACTTTTTATCTCTCCTACCAAATGAGGTTATTTTCATATTAGTCAAAACCTGAAAATACAGTAACTGTTTTTAATCTGTCATAATTTAACTTTTTGAGGGTATTTAAAAAAGTATGTTATTTTGGGGTTTGAACAAATATATAAGGAGCCCTGTTTAAAAATAGTAAGTTCAAATCCCTATTTTTTATTTTTTAAACATTGTAATCTTGATTTATGTTTTTAAATGAAAAGCTGTATTTAAAAATTATATAATCATTTTCTAGTGGTGTCTACTGATTTTTAAGTTGTTTGGTTGATTATGCACTGTATGTAACTGTATTGAACTTCTTGTGTGCCACCTCAAATCCTCTTGGCCCACATCTTACTCCAGGACTCCTGTGAAACACTTCTAGGCAGGCTTCTTCTTTTTTTTTGCAGTTTTATACCTTTATTTGACAATCCGTGATTAGTTCTCATCCACATTAACTGTCTGTAGATTTTTGAAAGTGGCGACAGGTACATAGGTAACCAGTGTGTAGAGCTTGTTTAGTGAATCTTGATCCTCGTTACATTATCTGCACAACCACACACGGATACGGTATGGAACATTCCTTATTCCTTTGGCCCAGACAGCTTTGTTGAGCCTGGTGTCAATGCATACATCTGGAGTTCCCATCTCCTTCATGGCAAATTTCCGATCTCTTTGAGTGCCCGAGGGGCACGCTTTCTTGAAACCCACTCCATGGTTGCACTTGTGAATGTTGATGGTGTATTCTCTGGTCACTACCTCGTTGATGGCAGAACAGCCCTTCTTCTTCTCGCCACCCTTCTTTGCGGGAGCCATTCTGCCAGGCCGTGGTTGGGAAGGAAGAGCACGAGGTATTGTGGGAGAGGGAAAGCCCCAGGCAGGCTTCTGACAGCTTCTTATGGAAGCCATTTGATGGCATTTCATCTTGAGAACACTTCATGATTTCCTTGCTTTTTTTCTCCAGGAATCCTCTGACAGTGTGGCTTGGGATGCCTACTGCAGCCTTTCTGCATCACAGATGTATGAAAGATGTGGGGGAGTTAATGACCTTGGGACCACCCTTGACTTATGGGTGAACGCTCTCTTTCCCATCTGCTGGGAGGACAATTCTGAGATGCCTTTCATAAGTTTCCTCAGAAAATCCCATGGGATTGAGTACCAGTCACCCATAGCAGTGGCCAACTCTGTAATACATTCTTACCATGTTAGCTTTCACTAATTTCTCCCTTTCTGATCCCTCAGGTTCTCTCAGATTACTTCTCAAATAAATACCTGTATGTGAGTATTTGTCTTAGGCTTTGCTTTTGGGTGGTGGGTAAACCCAGGCCAAGATGGGTACCAGGAATGGCCTTAGAAAGCAAACCCTCTGGATGCGATTCTGTGACTGGATCATTCACTGGACAGATGACAATAAAGACCATAGCTAGTGGTAAATGGCATAGTGATAAGTCCTGTCATGTGGATGGGTCATGGCTACTGTACTGGATTTGGGTAGAGTGCGGGAGGAAGGTGAAGTATTAGGTTATATCGTAGTTGTGGCATTGTGGTGGAATGGGACTAATGGAAATTATAAAGGTGAAAGTGTTGGTTAGTTATTGTTAACTACTTTAACAATATTTTAATTAACCTTGAAAAAAGAAAATGACATAGGTTCCTGTTAGCTATTTAAGTCAAGGCATGCTGTGAGAGCCAGAATGCCTCTATAGCACCCTTTAAGGAAAATCTCATCGTTGATGCTGGCAATATGTGCTGACAATCCAGCCCAAATAGTAAAGGTGGCAAGGGTGCAAAGGAAGTTGAAGACTCAGCCTCGATTATCTCCTCCAGCAAAGTCAGCATGCTGACAGGAAAAGATTGTAATGTTGAATCATAGAATGGGAACATTTGTGTTGGTGAGCCTCAGAATCTTGAACCCTCATGTCTCCTTGATTCTCTGAGCCACAGAAGTGGTCTCCCCTCCTCCACTTTGCTGATGGAGAGCAGCCTTCGCTTGCTTGGAGATCCTGCAAAGAATTTATCTGGGGCACTTGCTTTGTAAGATGATACTTGTCCTCCTCAAGACTCACCCCTGCTACCTCTCCTTAACTCCATACTGAAAAGTAGGATCGGGTCTCAGCATACCCTAAGTGGGGATATACAGTCCTTTCAATAGGAGGATAGGTTACAATCTGAATGAACTGTAGGTTCTGGTTAAAATATATTGGCAGGAACCCAGGAAACATGCATGGGAGTAGGTCTCAAGGGCGTTGGAGGGGGATGGAATATAAGGCCTGATAGGAGAGAGTAACATGGTAGCACTTAAACTCCTGACTTGGGTTTTAATACCTTAGATATCTAGATATTTTTCCTAACATACTGCTAGGACGGCATCTAGAAGATATGGTGGAAATGCTAGAATTTATTTGGCATGGTATTAAAGAAGGGGTCATAAAGCTCAGGGAAGTTGCAGTGTTAGAATGGATTTGTTGTTTGAAACTTGAGAAGCTACCACTTGAGTGTTTTTCCTGGAAAGGCTCAGATGACACTCATAAGTAAGGCGATCAAAAATGTAGTGGTGAGGAGTGTACTGGCAACTTTGAGAAGTGTGGCTGTGGCTGAGCTCTACAGGCAGGAATCGATGGCAGCAGATGCTGCCATGATCCTGGGCTCTTTGATATCAGTGTAGATGATGGGATACAGAAAGGTGGAAGGCCAAGTTGTGGAACCTAACTGTCACATGCCCAATGGACATAATTAATGGGTACCAAGGCATGGATCTGTGAAGGAGTTTAAGATCATGATGTGCCAAAGGGCAAGATAGAAGGACAGCTGATTAGGATGCTACTTGACTTGTATATCCACTTGTATAACTACTAGCAGCTAGTTTTCAGATCTCAGGCACTGATGGAAGGGAAAGCCCAGATTTCCTTGAGGAAGGGTCCTCAAGTATATATGATAAACATCACCTTGATCCTTCCCCAAAGGAGCAGTCATTTACCAGGGTAACTATGCAGTGGAGAAAGAAGAATACTCAGATTTTTCAACCAAGGACTTTCGGATATAAGGTCTGAGCTAATATGGATCCCAAAGGACCCAAAACACAATTGTGGTCCTCTGGTTTTATGCAAGCCCAGTGATGAATGGAGTCCTGACCAAAGTCCGTCCCAGTGGGTATAATGGGTGTGGCTCCACTCTTTATTTCTGAAGTACCTAAATATACATAATTGGGATAGATATACTTAGAAGCTGATAGAATCCTTGGACCTACATTGATAGCTCTTGCTTCATGTCCCAGATACTTCTCAGATGTTGCAGGCTTGGGTCAGAGTTAATGACCCAGGGGCCTCCCTTGACCAAAGTGTTACGTAGGCCCAAAGTCAGTGAGGCTCTAGAAGACTTGAACAACTATTAACCAACTTTATGTAATTGACATTTATAGGACACTCAATCCAATAATCGAATACCCATTCTTTTTTTTTAAATGCACAGGTAATATTTACCAAGACTGACCATATTCTAGGTCACAAAACAAGTCTCAGTACTTTTAAGATGATTCAGATCATGATGTCCTCTGACCACAATGGAATTAAATTAGGGATCAGTAACAGGTATCTGGGAAATCTTCAAAAATTGCAAAGTTATATAATACATATCTAAATAATCCATGGGTCAAAGAAAAAAAATAAAGGAATCAAAGTACTTTTAATTGAATGAAAAGACAACATAAAAATATTTGTGGGATTCAGCTAAAACAGTACATAGAGGGAAACTTACAGCACCAAATGCCTATATCAGAAAAGAAGATCATAAATAAGTGACCTCAGTTTTCACCTTAAGGAACCAGAGAAAGAAGGGCAAATAAAATAAATAGGAAAAAGGAAATAGTAAAGACCAGAGCAGAAATAGAAAACAGAAATGCAATAGAGAAAATGAATAAAACAAAACACTGGTTTTTTGAGGAGACCCGTAAATTGATAACAGCTAGACTGATCAGCAAAGGATAGAAAGAGAACACACAAATCATCAATGTTAGGAATGAGAGTGATGACATCACTACATATTCTACAGATACTAGATGGATAATAAGGGAATGTTATAAATAACTTCATGCCAATGAATTTTACAACTTAGACGGAAATAGATAAATTTTCTTGAAATACAAAAACTTAAGCTCATTCAATAATAAATAGATAACCTGATTAGCCCTTATATTGTATACTGTTATCCCATATATCAATTAAAGAAACTAATTTGTACATAACTTTCCCACAAAGAAAATTCCAGGCCCAGGGTGCCTGGGTGGCTCAGTTGGTTAAGCGACTGCCTTCGGCTCAGGTCATGATCCCGGATTTCCGGGATCAAGTCTCGCATCAGGCTTCCTGCTCAGCAGGGAGTCTGCTTCTCCCTCTGACCCTCCCCCCCATGCTCTCTCTCTCTCTCTCTCTCTCATTCTCTCTCTCAAATAAATAAATAAATAAATAAAAATCTTAAAAAAAAAATTCCAGGCCCAGATGGCTGCACTGTAAATTTTACCAAATATTTAAGGATTAAAGATTACTAATTCTAAACAACCTTTTCCAGAAAATTGAAGTTGGGAATTCTTTACAACTTACTCTATGTGGGCAGCATTACTCAGATATGAAAACCAGACGAAGACATAACAAGAAAAGAAAGTTTCAGATTAATTCCTCTCAAACATAGATGCAAACATTCTTAACAATTTTAGCAAATATAATATAAGAATATGTAAAGAGGAAATACATCATGATCGAGTGGGTGTTATCCAAGGAATAGAAGGTTGGCTTAACATTTGAAAATTAATGTAATTCATATTATTAACCAACTAAA